TTTTTTTTAGAGACAGTCTCACTTTGTTGCCCTTGGTAGAGTGCTGTGGCATCCCAGCTCACAGCAACCTTCAGCTCTTGGGCTTAGGTGATTCTTTTGCTTCAGCCTCCTGAATAGCCAGAACTATGGGCGCCCACCACAATGCCCAGCTATCTTTTTTGTTGTTGTTGTTGTTGTTGCAGTTTGGCCGGGGCCGGGTTTGAACCTGTCACCTTCAGTACAAGGGGCCAACGCCCCACTCACTGAGCCTCAGGCGCTGTACAGGTGTACACATCTTAAACTGATGAACTGGGGACATCAATTCTCTTTGCTGACCTGAAGCTCAGAGTTTATGAAATTAAGCCACCTACCTTGATTTCTGGGAGCTGCATAACTTCAGGAAAGACTTCGATGCAATTGGAGTGAGCAATTACAGTGTGCATGCGCCTGCAATTCATGATAGTTGTTGGGATGGCTTTCAGTTTATTCCCACTTATGTCAATTTCTTCAAGTTCCTCCAGTTTCGCCATTTTACTAGAAAGAAGAAAATCCATTGGAGAGGGAGTTAAAAAATAATTATAAGGCAATTTAAAAAGAAAATCATATATAATAAGAATCAAAAGATGAATTTACTATGACTTTAAAGAATCATTTGCAACAGTCATTTTTGCAACCAACCAATTCCTTACTATTATTTTGGAGTATCAAAGCATTTTAACATCTTTTTTTGGCAGGGGCTGGGTTTGAACCTGACTTTGGTATATGGGGCCTACGCCCTACCCCTTGAGCCTCAGGCACTGCCCCATTTTAACATACTCTTCCCCACCACAGAGCAAAAACTATCAACTCTTCAAATCAGCAACAAGCAGGAAAATTGATGCCCTTTTCCTCCTAAAAATCTGTGTGTAAATTAAGTTACCCCGGCAACAGTCACTTTGCTATGTAGCTTAGTCAGAACGCTAATGAAAATCCTACTTAAATGGGTCAAAAGCCTCTGAGAGTATGATTTCTTTGCAGTGGCAATGCAAAATCAAGGGGATGTAGAGAACAGGGCTATATCTCAAAGTAAGATATGCTTTCCCCCCAAACTCTCCTCCCCCAATTCCTCAGGCACCACATACATAGACAGATAGAGGCTGGAGATAGGAATAGGTGATAGGCTGGAAGGTCTCTGGAACACTTTTCAGTATCTGGCAGATGCTAAATTCAAACCAAGCCCCAAAGAAAATTCTCCCAACTCTTGTTAAACATTTTCAAAGAAGAAACATCTCCAATCTTTCCTTAACAACAAGTTCTAATGTAACTTAATACTTCCGAATAAGAATGTTTTTTACTGTTCAATTTTTGTCTATAATCTTAATTAGTAAGATTAACCAACTAAACAAAACTTCTAGAATCAGAGTTTCTTGCATTTTCTATAAATTTTGAGGAAAAAACCAACTGTTCTACCTCTGAAATCCTCTGACCCTCCTTAGCATCTACCCTCTCCCTGTCACTGGTGGTGCTGGACTCTAAGAAGTACAAGATTCCCAGTTAGCATAACTCAAGCCTACGACCTTAATCTCTTAGTTTACAGTTATTGGAATCTTTTCTGCAGTTTATGTTTCATTTGTTACAATATATCTTGAAACAATTAAATATAAACATGCAACATGGTATCAGGATATACTTCAAACAATGTCACATACACAGACTGTGAAGTAATCTATGATCACCTGAATTTATAACTGTGTTCTTTAAATACATTGTTGTCCTATTTGGAAAAGAAATGTGAACAGAAAACAGGACCAAGATAGGAAAATTCAAAGAAGTTTCCATCTCTCAACATAGAAAAAAGGCAGCAAAAGACCTGAAGATAAGAAGACTGGCTCACTGGGGCATGTTCTTTAATTCAGCGACCATTTGTTGAGTTGACGGTAGGTCAGACCATGTGTAAGATACAACGCTGATGAAGATAAGAAAGTCACAGTCCTGGCTCTTGTGGTGCTCAGGGGCGCTACTGAGCGACGTCATAGCCCCCCAGGAGACAGAATTATTGCTACATGGATTTTTTACAAGGTGCATAAAAAAATTCTCTGCACTTAGAGTGGGTGATTACACCCAGCATGGGGAACTTCCTCAATGATCCTGAAGTTTTTATCATCTGAAAGAGGACAACGAGCCCCCTTTCAGATGCATTACTGTTATGTGATTATCAGGTTTTCCCAAAAATATAATATTCTCATTCCAAAGTAAAAAAGTACATGAAAGTAAACATAAAACAATTTAATCATTAATATCAAATCGGGAGTTTTAAAAAATACTTTTATTATGCCAAAAACAGAGCAATACTGTGCTCGCTTCGGCAGCACATATACTAAAATTGGAACCATACAGAGAAGATTAGCATGGCCCCTGCGCAAGGATGACACATAAATTCATGAAGCATTCCATATATAAAAAAAAAAAAAAGAAAAAAGAAAAAACAGAGCAATACTTTAAGTCAACACTTATTTGGGCCTTCTTCCTTTAGCAAGGGCTTATAGATGGGTAGCCCTGACAGCAAAAGAGGAAGACTGTGCTAGTACTTGGATTTGACTCCATGCCTTGAGTTCCAGTGACTAGCAGGACACCACAGAGGGTAGCATTTGCATTCTTGATGTGCGTGTGTTTTCCAAGTCCTAACTCATAAGATGGATAAATGCCAGGGAAATGGAACTGGAGTACAATCCTCACGGCAGATTCTATACATTCACATAAAGCTGGAAGTAATGCCACTGTTCCCCTAAAATTAGAAATTAAAATGAAAAAAAATTAAAAATGGAATCTTCCAAGAGCCATCGCGGTTTCTATGGTTTGTAGGTTACCATTGCTTTGTACGACATGAGCACAAATCCAACAGTTGCTGGATAATGAAGTTCCTTCAGTTTCCTGGTTTACATTCAAAGTCCTATCATATCAGGTTAACTTTTTTTTTTAATTTGGTTGAAAAGCAGAAAAAAAAATTACCTGCTAAACAAAACACCTTATTTCATAATTTTAAGCACATTCTTGTGATTGGGTCTTTGGGTTCACTCATATTAAGAAAACCAATACATTTCTCTTTGGGGAAGTATGAATTACACCTAGCTTAAAGACAGCAGGGAACAAGTAAGCAGGCTTTACATTGCCTGGAAAATAAACAGTCCAGCTTTCTTCTTTCTATCCATAAACACATTTTTAGAAATGCAATTGAGGACATCACTTTATGACCATCCTTTACCTTGCTGGAAAACTCTGAAGTCGGTTATAGGCCATGTGAAGAATCTTCAGATGGGGGTGTCCAGTTAGTAAGGGCACACATTTGTCCGTGAGGCTGTTATTTGTTAAATACAACTCTTGTAAGATACTGTTTGTCTCTTCACAGAGTGTAGCTGGCGGAAGGGTTTCCAGTTTGTTTGCAGATGCATTCAGGAATCTCAGGCTACAATGACAAAATACAATAAAATGCTATGATAAGCCAGAGCTAGATCAGAGCCCTCAACACACCTCAAGGCTTTCTCAATGCTAGGCACAGTAGAAGCTGGCTTTGGAAACATGAATGAAAAGACAAGCCCTGGGTAGAGTTCGATTTAGCAGGCACATGGACCTCTGACCCACCATCTACAATTTTCACAACAGGTATCAATCTGTATCAAATACAAGGAGATAAAAATCAAAATTTATGGAAGCCCAAAGGCAAGAGGAAGTAATGATTACTTTTACAGCTGGTGAGGAGTGAAAGAGCAAGTGGTATGGTAAACTTAATAAACTTAATATTCCCACTTAAGGGTGAGACAAACAATTTACTTTTTAGTAAGAGTTCTTATAGTAATAAAACAATTAGGCATTAGATCCCAATACAACTAAATTATGTAGTGACTAAGATCTTTTCAGTATGATGTCCAAATTACATTTTTATAAGCATGCATTCACAATTGCAGGAGACAATTTGCTCTGTATTAAATATCAGGATACAGTAAAGTAATGAGAACAAAGAACTCCAGCTATATTCATCAACAAGACGAACCTCCAATGTAATACAGAGCAAATGAAGCTGCACACGACAAGGACGCACCGCATGGTTCCTTAACTCACACGGCTCAAAGTCGGCAAACTAACCTGTGGTAACGGAAGTCAGAATGGTGGCGAGGCTGGGTGGAAGGTGACCCCCCACCTAGGTGACAGGATCCAGGAGATGGTGTGGAACATTTCTAGCATCATAGTGTTCTGTTTCTTGGTCTGGGTGCTGGTTACACAAGTGTGTTTTACTTTGAGAAAATTCACTAAGTGCTATACTTAGGATTTGGCCACTTTTCTGTATTTGTATTATACTTCAATAAAATTTACGTTAAAATAAACAAGGTAACATATACGCTGCCACAGTTTCTAGATGACAGAGTGAATATGAATAAAATACAGAGAACAGTTTCATAGCTAAGAGAACTATAATTGTCAACAACCACACATGTGTTATCCTTCACAGTTACTGTGAAACATTAAGATGATGCACAGTGCAGAGTTGGGGAACTGCAGCAAAACCCTTGCCGTGATCAGGTTCCAAATCACTTGGAAAGGATGAGAAGGATAGAGCAGGAATGGACTGTGTCATGGTTTGGGTCAAAGATGACTCTGTCCAATGCAGGTGGGCATCTAATGTGCCCTGTGCACAGAACTCACCTCAAGAGCAGGGTCAGATCTGACTTGCCTTCCCACCAAACCTACCCTGCTAACAAGCCTCCCTGTTCTCTCATTTCACAATCACCTTGGCTTGAAATTTTCACATTCAATTCAGGACTACTCTGCCATAGGTTAGACATAAAAATAAAACCATCTTTCATTTCATTAAAATGAAAGAATACATAAAATAAAAAGGGTGGGGCAGCGCCTGTGGTCAAAGGAGTAGGGCACTGGCCCCATATACCGGAGGTGGTGGGTTCAAACCTGGCCCCGGCCCAAACCAAAAAAGCAAAATAAATAAATAAATAAATAAAAAATACAAAAGGTGAACGTGAAATACCAGGTACAGTTATGTTTCGTCTTGGATTTTAAAGAAGGTTTATATTACAAGTCCTTACCAAGACTATCATTCTAAGCTTTCAATCCACTAATTTAATATTCCTCAGTCTTGCACACCCCACACAATTTACACACATACCAACTCTATTACTTATCTGAGGAAAAACAGCTTCCTCAAAATAGAAATTTTTCCATTAAAGAAACACGTATTCTGTTGACATTTAAAAGGGAGGGGGTTACGTTAGACAAGGGCTGTACAGACCATAAATAGTCATGGGAAATTACAGTCGTGTGTGCCACAGAGAAGAAAACAAAGGTCACCCATGCCGTTTCTAAAATGGTTTTGAACTAGGAAGGAAACCAGTTTCAGCACCATCATTCTGTAGAGCATTTTCATGAGTCTGTTTCCTCAGGTCCCATTTATTCTTGATTTAAATTTCCTGTTAAGAATTTCTTCAGTGTAGAATTAGAATACATTAAAATGAAAGAAATACATGTTATTGCCCTAAAATATTATGGACTAGGGTTGGCTGAGAAACCGTTTAACAATCTCATTAAAATAGAATTATCTAGGAAATAAGCAGTTATGGACACATGAAAAGAAAAGAGAATAAATTCAGTGTTTGAGTATTTTTAGGCCACAGAAAGAGGGAATGCAGTCCTAAAAGCATACAAGTGCATGCTCATCTAGAAAAGTGCCAAAGGGACTTAAAAGATGGGCATTCAGATGCCCTCACAGCATCTGAATAAAGGGAAGAAAGTGAACTTTGAAATCTGCCTGCACGTAAGGAACTAGACACTCTTTATGCAAATTTAAGGGGGAAAAAATCCCACATCATCTCCTCTTCCAAGAAATTGAAACTACGTTAACTAACTTAGCAGAAACTACAGGGGCTAGTTTCAAAGGACATTCACATTACCTGCGAAGTGAATCGAATCACCTTGTTGGTTAACAAAGAGCAACCAAATGGACTAAAAAGATTTTTGATTATAATGGTCTCAGGAAAATCAAATTTAATATCCACCCTCCTAAAACACTCTACCCACCTCATGATATTTCAACAGAAGATAAATGAAGCCAATTTAATGATCTAGGTGTCATCCTCCTACTAGTATAAATAGTTATTTTAGTTTTACAATGTTTCTCCAATATGGGTAACAGTTTTGCTTAATAAATTAACTTTAAAAACCATACTTCCTGCTTTTAACCTTGTAAAAATGTGAATTTCCTAAAGCACTGAGTTTGGTCTCAAATCACTATGTGATTTACTATTCTCAGGTTTCTCCCATACAAGATTTTGTAATGACTATACACAAAAAGATGGTTTAATGTGCCAAGAGATGTTTCATCCACATAACTTTTCTTATTCTCCAACTCTCTTTTAATTATAGAAGATTTCTCACTATGCTATTCTCTTCCAGCTACAGAAAAGGCAGTAACATGGTATCACGGCTTTCTTTATTTAAGGTGCCTGGTAGATCCCACAGATCTTCCCTGTTTCCTATCTCACTGGAGTCTCCATCATCCTAAAGGTACACTCTCACCTCACGTCTCACAAATGACAGACACTAAAGCAAAGAAAGTCAAATTGTTTGGGAATGGTTCAATAGTAATTACTGGCAGAGGCAGAAATAAAACAGTTCTCAACAATCTCAAGAGTCCATAATTCTTTTATTTATTTATTTTATTTGGAGACAGAGTCTCACTATGTGGCCCTCTGTAGAGTGCTATGGCATCACAGCTCACAGCAACCTCCAACTTCTGGGCTTAAGCGATTCTGCTGCCTCAGCCTTCCAAGTAGCTGGGACTATGGGTGCCTGCCACAATACCTGGCTATTTTTTTGTTGCAGTTGTCATTACTGTTTAAGGTGGCCCAGGCCAGGCTTGAACCCACCAGCCTGGGTGTATGTGGTCGGTGCCCTATACCCACTGAGCTATGGGCACCACCAAGAGTCCATAATTCTCAAACACACCTCTCCAAAATTCAAATGTTGCAAATAATAATACCCCTTTTCCTGGGCTCGGCACTTGTAGCTCAGCAGCTAGGGTGCCAGCTCCATACACTGGAGATGGCGAGTTCAAATCCAGTCTGGGCCTGTGAAACAACAATGATAACTACAACAAAAAAATAGATGGGCGTTGTGATGGGCACCTGTAGTCCCAACTACTTCGGAGGCTAAGAGAATTGCTTAAGCCCAAGAGTTTGAGGTTGCTGTGAGCTGTGACAGCACAGCACTCTACCTAGGGCAATAGCTTGAGACTGTCTCCAAAAAAAAAAAACCCAAACTTTTCCTGGGACATTTTTATAGGCCCCTTTTCTCCAAAAAAGCAGGAGGTCAAGCAGGGCACGTGCTAGGTCACAAAAGACCATGTATGGATAGCATTTTAAACTCAATTCTTTGGCTGGGCCAGGTACCTCATGCTTGTAATCCCAGCACTCTGGGAGGCTAAGGTGAGTGGATCGACTCATCTCAAGAGTTTAGGTTCAGCCTGAATAAGAGACCCCATGTCTACTAAAAATAGAAAAATTAGCTGGGCACAGTGGTGCATGACTTAGTCCCAGCTACTTGGGAGACTAAAGCTAAAGGATCACTTAAGCCCAAGAGTTTGAAGTTGCTGTGAGCTATGATTCCATAGCACTCTACCAAGGGTGACAAAATGACATCCTGTCAAAAAAAAAAAAAGAGAGAGAGAAAAATGTTAAACTCAATTCTTCAACTAAGTTAGTAAGTAGTATACTACTTAAATTTTTTTTCTTGCCATAAAGTGCAAACATCATAGAGAAAAATACACAGATATGGGTCCTGTCCTAAGGCATTTGGAAAGTTGCCCACAATAGCAGTAAGACAAATCCATTTCCTGCTTCTTGAGCAATTGTTCTGTTCTTCTGCCTGGGCACATTCTGTCCATCTGGCTCATCTTATGTTTTTTTTGTTTTGTTTTTTTAATTGTTGTCGCTGTTGCTTCCTTTTGTTTGCTTGCTTTTTAGTAATTTCTTGCACACCCTTAAATTTTACAGTGAAATTCTGTCCATGAAACTGAGCACAGATTTTGTACCATGATCAATTTACCTATTTGTAGGCCAGTAGGTATTCAGCAGTTAAATGATTTTTCTGGAGATCAGTACTCGGCCTTGTATTCCAAATAGTTAAAACTGTCTAAGCCAAATAAAACTCTTCTATTTTTAGATAATCCCCTGGTTGTTGTCTCTAAGACGTCTTAGAAGTGTCAAACAAAATACTCTGAATTTCTTATTAGTGCTTGTCTTTTTTACAACACAATACTTTTGACAATTTCATCTACCTTCACGCAGTTGATTAACTCTTAAAGAGGCTTTCAAACTTTTTATGGTGGGAACCTAGAGTACCAAGTACATTTTATGTGATTAGGCAGTAAAAATGCAACATAGACACATGTAACTGAAA